CCTACTCCAATCTCTTCCGATCAGCCAAGGAGAAACAGAACTAAACCCATTACTTAAAACATCAATTCTGATGATACTGAATCGCAAAGTTTGCATCAATCAAGCTGGGAAATCAACTTCAGACAAGAATGTACAGATAGAAAACAACATTCCCACAAGAAGGCCGACAATCCTGAGACAGCAGAAGAAATCAAGACTAGAATTCGACGAGGAAACAAAACCCTGAAGTAGTACACTGAAATAAACCCAACAAAACCGACAAAACTTTTTTTTGATATATCATCTGCAAGAAAGAAATGCGAGTATTTACCCAAGAAAAAGAAGAAGCGAGCAAGGAAATAGATGGCCTAATTCAAACAATTCAAACCAATTTGAAACACCAAAAATCGAACCGAAAGAGAAAGAGAGCATAATCTCAGACAAAGAAATTTCAAAATATCGCTTGTGTGCACATACATACGTAAATGGGTCGGAACTGGAATTGCAAAAACTGGGACAAGCACAAAAAAGGGAGGAGATCAAGGGGGCCCAAAGAATCGAAGAGGGTTAAACATGAACAGGAACAGGGAAAAGACAGAAAAACAAGAAGGAGAGTGAAATTGGCCTACATGTAACGGGAATCGAGATCTCGTGCTCATAAATTACGTCGATCGCTGTTGGGGCTGTTCCCGGCAAACCTCGTTATCAGCTAGGACCCACGAAAAAGCTCGAAACCCAGGGCTTTTCACCTCCTGTTACATCGAACAAGAGAGAAAGCTCCTTCCTCCTCGCGAGCCAAACGGCGCAAAAGAGACGGGCTTTAAGAAATAGTGGGAAAATCCTTTTTCATGAGAGCGCACGGGAGGAGGAGGGGAAGGGCACAAGGCAAACGAGCGTTTCTCATATTTGTAAGTGCGTGGGGGTAAAATTGTCCAGTGCATATTCAAACCGTCACCACACCACCCACCATTATCATCACCTTTTCTTTTATTTAAATATCGCTACTCTATCACCTGATTATTTTTCTTTTACAAATTAGGCAGCTGAATTTCCTACTTACTTATTTTAGCCTCAGTCTTTCCACAAATCCAGTTTTATATGGTAACAATTTTTTTATAAAATTTATTCCAAAATAAATATAGTTACCAAATGATAAGAGAAGCAATTATATATGTATGTATATATATGTGTGTTGCATACATATATATAAAAAAAAATGGTGGAGGGAGTTACATAAATTGTTTAGTATTCCATTATCGTGATATAGGAAGTTGCATGAGCGTTTTATTTTAGTTCGTACATAAACAATTATCAGAAGGAAAAAAAATGAGAAATAAGCGATGTAAAATGACGGAATTGACCTCAACTGCTCTTTTCCTATTAATTAATACTAAAAATAATTATATATTCCTAGAGCGCGGTGACATGGCAAAACGATGCAATTGGCTATTTGAAAATTGAAGCCACCAAATTCCTTTTGTTCAGTGAATAGACCAACCAATCAGCAGACCGATAACCGGTTCGGTATTCGCCAAATATCTTCTGATATACCGACCCAAATCCTCATACAAATAAATACCCAAAACACCTCCGGATTTCAACCACAATCAAAACCAGTTCGGTTCGATTTGATTTTGGATTTAACAAAATTCGGCAATAAACCGATGATAGAACTCAAAACCAAGCCGCAAGCAGCTAAGGGGTTCAAGGAATCAATCAATGCACACTGTACCAAAGCAAACCGACCGGTTTGGAAAGTAATCTGTACAAGAAACTTTGGCCATATCATAGAGATGTCATAAAATGGTTTGGGTTCCTGTGTTACTTGGATTTTGGGGTGCTAAGTGGAAGAAACTTTGGCCATACCACCTGGCCAAGTCGGTTTAGGCACTCAATAGATTGAAAGAATTCTTAACCGGAGCTTTGATAGGGAGAGGTCCAATCCAAACTATGGATTGACAGATACTGATTTGGATGCATCAAGATGGTTTAACCGACAAGTCCCGAGAAGATACTCCGGGAGCTCCTCTTCGGTATTCGCCTACAAAAAAAGAAACCCGAATGTTTGGTTCGGTTCGGTTCTCAAGATTATTCCAAAACAGGTTTAAACCGATGGAGAAGGGAGATAACTGTATTGGATAACCGGTTTTACCTGTACCAAGAATGCCATTTCGATCACAAGGTTATTGAGGTAACCAAGAACAAGGCTCACAACTCCTCTTGCAACAGTTGAGGATCCAATATCCACACCCAACTGAAATAATTCAGAAGCAATTTCGGATACAGCAAAAAGATTACCAAAACCTTAATCAGATGTCTTCATGTCTGATTGTGTCGTAAAATTCCGTGCAACAGTTTTTTTTTTTCGGTGACTGATAAATATCGCAACAATTGTATAAAAAACGATTCTGTTATTATAGATTTTAACACATCAAATACAGTTCTGATGAAAAAAATTGTATTCAGTCAGTTACCTCGATATAGTTCTTGCCCCGGAAGTAATTCATATCGAGGGCTTGACCAATGAGGCACGCTTTCTTTCCAACGCTCTGTTTAACTATCCAAGAGCCCTGAGATGTATAAAAAAAATATTGGACTAAAAGAATTTCAAGAATTCGAGAAAGTAGTGGCAATCTTTTAAACTTTTTACCTTGGATATGTAAGGAATGAGCTTGAACCTAGAGTTTCTATAAGCATCATCCCCATTTACAAAGCTATATAGCAATGGATGCTCTTCGATGGGAGTGCTCATCACATAATAAAGCACGAGACTGTACGTTGTTGATCCAGGAACCTGATTCCACAATAATATTAGCACCTTTTGTTTCATCTCATCTCGATGAGAAAGGCCAAACAAGTGTACGTACGAACATAAGTTTTGAGAGGCACTGTTTGGTATGTTTGCTTTACCTGTATATTCACTATAAAGAAGAACTCGGGTCCACCTTTTTCCGCATATTTCTGCAATTCAGAAGCTTGTAAGACTTCGACCCATGCCCGAAAAATGAATATCTAATTCTATCAGAACCGACAAGTATCTAATGGAACCACCTGAACTATGCCTCCTGGACGGCTCCCGAGATCATCCTCCCGCTTGTCAGACTTTAACCAATCTGCTGCAATCATTTTCATCAGTGTGCCCTTCGCCTTGACCTGAACCAACCACAAAAAAAATTAGATGAACACAGACATATATGACTGCCCAAAGCATCAAGATTGACAAAAAAAATGTTAGCTTTTGGACCTTCTTCCGGTCTTCAAGATAAGTCTTTCCTCGGATTAGAAAAGTTGAAGGATCGGTCTCTGTCCAACTACAAGGCACATTGCAGGTAGGGTCATTCGGAAGAGTGGTGCCATAGCAGCAAGGTGTACTACTCTCTTCCCTTGTCATTTCATGCAGGTCCACATATCCCCTCTTCTGAACTGCACGGCAAATATTTTTCCAACCATGGAACCAGAACGGAAAGAATCAACCAATAAGAGCATGATTCATCTGCGAAGTGAAAGGATCACCTGCAAGATCATGCAACTTTTTCACTAAACCCGCAGCGCCCGTTAGTTTTGGCTGATGAGATTCCTGCAATACGCAACTGAAAGTTAAAAAAACCCATTCCTCCACGCAATTCCCATATACAACGTAATGTGTGGGGTTTGTACTACCTGACAGTATGTATCCAAATCGAAATCTGAGGTCCAGCTGTCATTGGGACAATCATTGTCCGATGGCTCGGGAACATCAAAAAACTCATCGGCTGCATCATTCAAGCCGACAAGGCTAGAGTGCTCCGAGGGAAGCTTATCCGTCTCTTCATTTGCAGTCTCCTTAAATCTTCCACACTCTCTCCGAGAAGAATTAGCAATTGCACGATCTTCTAGGCTTGAGTTCAACCTTACACTTCTTGAAAACTCTCCTGATGGCATATCTGAAGAAGGAAAGCCTCCGTGTTTTGCCCTGAATAGCTCTCTCAGGGCTGAGATAAAGAGTTCAGTGTGACTGGTCAATTATGTGGATGAATAGGCAAAAAGTGAAGCGCTGAAAGTAAACTGAGTCCATTAAGAGGGTTGACAATTACCAGAAATTCTTCCGAGCATTCGTACGGTTATTGATCTTGCTAAAGCCGGTTTGAGATAAGATCTCCAGGACTTCCAATCAACAGCAAGCATATGCTTCACAACTGAATGCTTTCCATTGCTAACAGGAGATATCACATAACCACCACCTGCATTACAACATACATTGTAAATTATTTTTTTTCCCTAACTCCATAAGAAGTTAATACACACAATAAAAATGAACAATTGATCCAAATTGAAGGATGCAAAGGAAAGCCAAAGATATTCTTCAATTAGACTTGAAACAATAGCAAGCTTTTAGGGTTTAAGGTTTCTATCGTTTTAGAAGGGTAATGAAATAGTTAAGCAAGTGTAGCGCAAGGGCATTCAGCAAACCCCATGGTCGAACCTCAGAAGACATCAGGATTCATTCAATTGTATCACACACAATAAATGCTAATGGTCAGTTTATTGTACAATGAACATGTAAGGTACACAAACATTCATTATACTTCAAAAAAAATTAGGCGTACATTACTTTTAAGGCACGCACGGATATAGCCTTTCTGAGGTGGACACTTCTTGTGAAACACAGAGTGGTAGAGTATAACTGCAACAGAATGAACAAAAAAGATGTAAACGTAGTCCAAGGACAGTCTTAAGAAAACAAATTGCAGTACTATCTTAAGAGGAGTATCACAAACCATATGTTCCATCATCTTCCCTTCTCCAGTAACGCCGCAGCAAAAGGTCTCTTCGTTTCATCCCCCTGTGATTACGATATGTCAACTACCAAAAACAAGCACTATTTCTAGCTTAAAAGAATGGCAGACAAGTTGAGTAGCTGACCAAGGTAACCAGTCGCTATATAACTGTTTGTGAATTATGTCGCTATGGCCATCAAGATGCTCGACCACACAGCCCTTGTAAAAGCAGAAGTCCCATCTGCCAATTTTGCAGACTTAAATTGTTAAACAAAGAAGAAAAGCACCTAATTAAAGAAAAACGTACTAGATGCAGCATACACTCCATGATCTTTACTATCTCAAATGGGTTTTCCTTGTGCATAAAAGCTTGTCTTGTGAGTAACATTTAGCAAAGGTTACTTACTCTGATCTTGATGTTCCAAGAGACATTAGAGTTTGGAAAATGGCTTCAGATGTCCCATCAACAACTCCAACAGCCATGACAGCTGGATGATCATCCCACTGTTAAGTCAGGAAAACGAAAAAGTCAAAACACACTTGCATTTTGAACCCCCTGAAGCAATATAGAATTTTGCAAATAGATAGACTATGGAAGCTACCGACCCTTACATGAGAGTCTCTCTCTTTTGCTTCTTTAAAAAGTCGAAGACCTGTATGCCATAGGTGATTAAGACTAGTAGCACTTTACCAACAAAAAGAAAAAAGCAAACTTTATAGTTTTCAGCTTACCATTTTGACAACCGAATATTGTCCAAGGGGAAGGCGCAATAACATCAGTTGTAACAGGGTCAACTCGTGCAGATGAGCGCACCGTCCAGTCAATAGAGATTGAGTGATGGTCCCGAACTGAGCTACTCAATCTGCTCTTATGAAAAACGTGTCTTAAGTAACCTAAAAAATATTATGGGTGCTAAGTAACCCACGAAAAATTTCAGGTATTGATATGGATAACAGGATCAGTTGCAAGTATCTTTCTTGTAATGATGCCAACTTCTGACTAGCCATCCCCCCTAACAGTGAACATGAACTATGAAATTGTAGAAAAAAGAATACCTCAAAGAATCCCATCTGCTCCTGGAACAACTAAAAAGGTCTCCCGGAAAAGGTTCACCCTGCATATAAGACGAGTATAAGTTTCTATGTCAGGTAGAAGAGTTCTAATAAGTAATCAAAAACGTTAAAGAACCTTTAAAGCTGCCTCTTTAATTGAATGGATCCATCTTGCAGCTTCCTCAGGACTGCTTGCTCCCAGCTATATCATAAAACCAGCAAACTTTGCACATGAATCTGGGTGTTTGTCACACCAAGTTTCAATGAGAACCAAAGTAAATTACCTTACCTTGAGCTGATCATTGTGATTAGAAGTATTGTATAGCGTAAATATAAAGAATACCTACGCATGGTAAAACAGACCATCATTAAAAAGCAGGAAAACACAAACTGAGAATATAATGGACCACATCCCGATAAATCCACAACTTGAGTTTCGTACTTTTCTATGAACACTTTCCCTCCCGTTGTCCGTGACCCGGATACATGAATCAATAACTGCACTTCTTCCAGAACCCTGAGATCCAAATGTAGGTTCTGCTTAATTAGTCTAAGCACATGGTAGCACCGGCATTAGTCTGGCGCAAACATATCAAACTGAATTATCCATTGCATACACTCTGACAATTGACAAAACATAAACACAGAGAGACCAATGAACAACACAATTCCAAAGCAAAAGAGACAAAAACCTATAGAAAGTTTGGCAAGCATTGTCCCCGTAAACAATCACAACCATGAACTACATGTACAAACTTACAAGGAAAAAAATGTGAGAAAACAATCAAAAAACGATATGAATGACGATCCCAGAGACAGTAGAAACACAGAGGAAAACTCGTAGAAGGACCAAAACGATTTGCAAGATAAAATGCAATAAATCAATCCGGGTGAAGACGTAGTGACCTTAGTTTTTGATTCGGAAGCAGATTTGAAACTATTCAGGAGATGATCTTGGAGAACAAAGTAGCGTTTTCTCGAAAATTGCAATCCGAATCGGTTTGAGCGAATTATATATAACCAACCCTCCATCTTAGTGTCGCTCTCGTTCTCAGACACAAACGCCATTGGAGGGAAATTCCAGAGAAGAAGCAAAGAAACGCAAGAGGGAAACGAATTCGTAAAATCCACCTATCTTAGGCCAACGATTTCCGATAGGACCCTAAGAAATTTCGTGAATTCCAAGAAAATTTTCCAACAAGCGATCGCAAGTTTCTGTCCAACCTCTCTGGAACTCCCGAAACCCTAGAATTATCTTCGCGACACACAAATCTTTCTCATTTTCTCCCTAACCAGACGAATCCGGGAAAATCGAGAACATCCCAAGAGAAAAGTTACAAGAAAGAAATTCAAAATCCGAAAGATCAACAAACAGATTTCCAAGAAGAGAATACAAAGACGGTGATGATAATCCGATCGCAATCGGATTTTACGAGGACGAGAGGCTTAACAATGCAACTGAACTTTTGTTCCTCTCTCTCTCTCTCTCTCTCTCTCTCTCTCTCTCTCTCTCTCTCTCTCTCGATTTGCAGTTTCCTCCGTTACGAAAGAAAAAAACTGAACTTTGGGAGCATATGGCAATGTGCAGACAGGGATTTTGCGGACCAAATTATATGAATATTTACGAAATGACGATTTTACCCTTATTTCTTTCCGAAGCTCCAAACCAACAAATCCCTATTTGCTTATGTGTCCGTTTTTTAATCATTGCTTTTTTTTTCTATGTAGATATGTATTTTGTTTGCGGGTGTTCTTAAAATTTGTTCTTTCCACACAAATTTATATATTTTTTCCTCTAATGATGTGCTATGTCAGACCGCAATAAAAATATACACCAATATCATATAACTTATATATGAATCAGATTCGAAGTTGGGTATTATTTTACATTGATTATTATTACATATATTTATTGAAAGTGGTTTTATACGAATTCACCTGCAACCATGCATTTTTATATATTGAGGTACGCCGGCATATATTGAATTTGATTATTTTTTAAAAATAAAATCATCCAATTTTTATACAGATTTTGATTTATTTGGATGTTTTCGAGTTAGTTTTCAAGTAATATATAATTGTAAAACAAGATAATATACTAGGTTTCTTACCTTTGAGGTAATCTATGAAATTAAACCGCATGATTTGTTTTTATTATAATTGGGTAATTTAAAAGCATTGTTCTTTCTTCAAGACCTAATAGAATGGCAAGTAAATTTATGATGACAATGTCACGAGTCACTACACGTAAAATATAGTATTTCTTTAACTTAATAAGGTCAAATTGAAAATTCGCATGATATATATACACACGCTTATATATATTATATAAAGGAACATGGTATGAGGTATATATATATATATTATATAATAAGTATATATTTTTGGGATAACCAAGGAGATGGGTTTCTGAAATGAGCTGGGTGCGGCTGTATCTATGATTAGTGTCTACAGAATAATTTATTCAATTTCAAAATATTATCGTGTTATTATAATTTTGAATAATTATATATAACATGTAGGAAATGATATATGGTTCTATTAATATATCTGCATTTTAGAGCAAAACTTTCGGCTGACGGATCCAATCTATGTGCATGTTTGCTATTTCCAATGCAATTCTATTGCTCTTTTTAATGAAATAATTATAGTATTCCATTTAATATATTGTATAAATACTGTACATTACTATATTGGACACTCAAGTAAAAATAAATAAATAAATAAATAAAATAGGAGAAAAAAAATCACGTTCATTTAGACACCTGAATATTAGGGTAATTATTTTCCCATGTTCCCATCTTTTTAAGATATCTGAATATTTGGGTAATCGTACTAACTATCTGCTATATCTTTTTTCATTTTTCATAAATAGAAAAGATTCGTTGTTCTAAGAGAGGATATGAAGTGATATATAATATACATACATTTACGTATAATCATAATTTATAAGTAACATGCATGTATGGAATATTACGGATGACTACATTAGATATTAATATCCTCACTTTTTTCTAACTTATTTGTTGCTTTTCCCGATGCTAAAGCTTTGGTATTCACGTCTTTTTAAGAATATATATGAATTATTTTCTTTTCTATATGAGACTATTTTAAAAATATTTTAAATATTAGAAAATCATGTAGAATTAATCATTATTATTTTGATGCATACAATGTTGACGATGAGATGTCCAATGCAACTTACGATGTTCATGCCCATTGCCCTACGCTCACTAAATTTATAGGTAATAAAAAAATAATAAAAATATTCATGTATGAATAACTAAAAATATAAATCTCATACCAAAAAAAAACTAAAAATATAAATCATTATTATTTTAATAAAACTTGGGTCGGATTTTTTTTTGGGTAAAGCGCCGAGGCCTTTGTCTCAATTAGCTGGAAGGTAGACATGTCATCATCACAGTCACTTTATTCAATCAACCTTTTTTTAATTATTCGTTTGTTCCAGTTTTGCTCGTTCAAAATTTTTTATTTAAATTGTATTATTTTTTTATAATTAAGGTATTCATTCCTCAACTTTATTTTTCTTATGTCATTTTTGAAATTTATATATTAATTATATCTCGAAATGTCTCAAAATTTTAATGAATCTCTTATTTCATTTACTTTATAAGAATTAATATTTCATCGTTCAATAGCAATAGTATTTTTGCTTTTTGTTCCGCTTATAAGTCTGCATAAAGAAAGCTTTATATAATTTTAAAAAAAACTCACGCCGATAAGTGATTGAAAATTCAAAATATAAAAAACTAAATCAAAATAAAGTTATATATTATTCTTAAATTTAAATTTTGTGGATTAAAACTAATATTGAATAAAATAAAACATATTACAAAAACTAAAATAGAATCTAAAGGGGGCAAATATCAAGCCTTAATAGTAAGAAATCTTTAAACAAAAGCATTAAATGATTGCGACGGAACAAAAAGAAAGGGAAACGCATAGAGACAGAATTATCTAAATAAAAAATTAATTAAACTTTAAACTTGGTAATCTGAGGAATGGGTCCTTATCTAGTTAATACCTTAATTAATTGATTGATTAAATATTTGAAGAAAAAGGCATAATTTAATAATAAATAGAGACAAGTTGACGTTCGATGGCATATTCGGGACAGTCTTCATCCTGGAATTCGCGACCTGCAAGTCTCACCGCCACTCATCTAATTTGTAAAATATAAATATATAACTATTAATTTAAAAGAAAAGCTTATTTCATTGTATTTGTGGTTCGTAATAAAGCGTTAAAACACGTCATCATAGCAAAAAAAGGTGAAAGAAATGCCACGTAAAAAAGTATTGTAAATTAACGGCTTCAATATATTCTCAGATTTTTTTAATAGTATTTCTCTACAAATTATTTTTTTATCGATTTTATATATATATATATATATATATATAAAACAAATCAGGCGGGTGTTAAGGCTGTTTCAGTCGCAACTACAAACGAGGACGAGTTTTAATTTATTAAATAATTTTCTAGAATTAACTTTTCTTTTTTTTTCTTCTAACAGAATAATAAATATATACAATATAAACGAGGTCAATCACCTTTGGTACACAATGAGGATGACCAACAAAACCCATATCAAGATTCACCCAAACTCGAGAGGATCATTCACTCAAAGAAAGAAAGTTTCAAACCCTTAAAGATTAGATAACGAACGAACCCCCTACAAAATACAAAACCATTTATTCTGCGGGAAGGGGGACTGGGGAGAGATTCCACCAAGAACTCAAAAAGAGGATGCATGTAATATCACTTGCTAAGTCAGGGAATAGATGGGGGGAAGGATATCTATGACATGGGAAGAAGTTTTCAATCATGTACACAAGGAAATAGAGAGAGTAGAGAGACTTATCATTTTCCCACCGTCCGACCAATGTACTCCTTATCTGCCTCCACCATTCGGCTCTGGAACATTGTCCATTCCTTCCGGCACCTCTCTCTCACCTGAAAACCCACCCCGGAAATATATATATATACACGCATTCGGATACTGTGATGTACGATGAATTAGAAAAGTGTTTCGTAATGTATGCAAATATCAGTTTTGCTTACCCCTTGCCACGGGGCTTTCCCCTTCTCCGCTTGTCCCTGAGAACATCCATAAGAGCTCAAGATCCCCCGGGAAAAAAAAATACATTTGGAGTATCGGTCGCTAGGAAGGTTTTCATTCATGCAAATGCTAGCCTTAAGTTTTGTACTACCATATGGATTTTGAGATGGATGAAAACAAGGCGAACATAACTCATATGTCTATCCACGCAAGCAATGCAAGTCCAGTAAATATAATAGTAGCATCTACTTGTCATATGATATGACCATACAAGTTTCAACGGCATGATGCGAAAGCCCGAAGATAGATCACCTGATTTCCAAGGGAAGGAATCACTTGATGAATAATCCATTGGGCGTCCACCACTCCGATCTTTTCATGAGCAGGCTGCCACAAGAGAAAACATATCTTGATGGATGTATCAAAGGAGCATTATACTGTTGCGAATCCCAGGAAATGAGGAACAAGAACTACTAACCTCAACACATCGCCTGAGAGCAAAGTCAAGGCCCCAGCCATGAACCAGATCATTCTGGACACGATACAAACAAGAAGATGTAGGTCCGATTAGTTTGAAGGACTGGACTCATTTCGATTACTTAAATCAGATATCAAATCAAATAATATCTCCTCTAAGGGATCCGTTTTCCTTATAAGACTGCACCTACTGAAATGGCAGTGAGAGAACCCGGTGTGCAATATGCAAACAACACTCAAGTTTTCGGTCATGCAAAATATAAAGCATGACTACAGAAACTACAGATTGCATGTACAATGTCATAGAGGCTGACCAAAGATCTGAGATAAAGAAAAAAAAAAGAAACCTGAATCATATGCCACACACACCGCCATGCTTCTCGAGAAAATACAGGTGCCATAATTTCAACAAAGCTGAAAGACAGGAAAATCAAAGCTGTGAGTTGACAGTTGAGAATGTCTTAACTCATCTGTTGGCTACACAAAAGAGGGAGGAGAGTCTTACGCAGCACATGGAGGTAAATGTGGGTCACTGCACCATCCTGGTTTTTCTTTTGTTTCTCTGTTCACCACTCAAGAAACTCAGGCACATTCTTAAAATCAGGGGAAAAAAAAGATTTATGTGAAAGAAGGAGAGGGATCCTACTTGTGGACCTCGCGATCACCCCTCCTCTTTGTCATTTCCCATGTAAGTCCATTGTTGGGCTCCAGCCCCGGTTGCGAAATCTCCAAACCATGCTTCTTAACTAACTCAATGTACCTAAAAGTTCAACAAAGTGCAATTAGAAAATGAATATTGACAATTTGACATTGGCCTGCCATTAAGACTCTAAAAGAAGTCATTATAACAACAGGTTTACTTCTCTGCATTGAAGTGCTCTACTCCAAGATCTTCATCCCATATAAATATGTACTCATAAGCTGAGACAATATCAGGATGCAAAAATCTCTTTGCATACCACCTGCCAAAATTAAACAGATAAAACTAAGAATTTGACAAGATTTTCTTGATAGTTTGACGAAAGAAGGTAAAAAGATGGCTGACTTTTACACCTTCAACCATCATATTTCTCACCATTTTGTTTGCCTTCTTGCACTAATATGAATCGCATTCTTTGACCACTCCAACTGGTCCCACTCAGTTGTCCGACCATCATAATGAAACAACAAAATTTGGAAATCGTCGGAAAACTGAAGAAATTAAACAATCATAAAACTCAGTGTAACCAAACAGAAAAACATATGATAACGACTACACGATGATGAATATCGACTGTAATTGCAGAACCTTCTTAACAGCTGCATCAACATTGTTTCTCTGCTCAAATCCAACTGTAAATGCTACAAGATATTTTGGTTTCTTCTTCAGGTCCTGCAAAGTTCATGCTTTCGGTGTTAACATTTCCAATCATTAGACCGTTGGACTCCACCAACTGTAAATGTTGCAGCAATCTAAGTATTTAAACAAGATTGTGGATCGCACTTCACTAGGTTCACCCCATAATCTACGCAAGTAGAAATCTGTTTCTGCCACAACAATTCCAGGAGGGAGTAATTCTGCACCGCGCGGATTGGTTGGAACATATATCTGGAATCATATCAATAAAAATGATGTATGAGATCCCAAAGAAGTTCAAATAATCTGTTTGCAATTTTTTGCTGAGAATGAAGCATTATTCTCATACAGAACCAAAAAGGGGCATTGTCATGTGAACCTGAATTGTTTATCATCGACAGCCTCATGAATCCAAGTTATTATCTTTGATCTAGAATATTGAATCAGCCTTTAAGCTAGAGAACTTATCTACAGAGACATAACCTTTGGAAATTCTCTTGAGCCAAAATCTTCAGGGGATTTGCCACTAGAAAACAACCTCCCATCTGATATTGCTACATCAAGAGATGATATAAGGCCCGAGGGTAAGTTAATCTGCAGGAAGGAATACGAAATAAATCAACAGGTGAAAGGGAACACAAAACGCGGATATACCTACTAAGCCAGTCTCATACCTTTGTAAGAGAAAGAGATGGGAATGTGATACCAATGAAAAACCCAACCACCATTCCCACAATTGTTGTGATAATAAGCTTTGCACTCTCATTTGTTCTTCTGGGACCACCACTGCAAGGCCGAGCATTAAGTAAAAACTTCAAATTCAAAGGAACTCAAAGCTACGTAAAATCAGAAGGGACATCTACCTCCGGTGCATGGTTCCCACTGGATTGTGAAATCTCCGAGATCTAATTCGAAACTTAATCCCTCCAGCAGCTTTGAAGCGTTGAAGAAACTCTTCAGGTTTTGGCGAACACTTCGGTCATGAGACAACAAACCGACCTAAAAAAGTACATGCCGACAATATAATGGGAGAGATTACGAATTGAAACATATTTTTGTTTGGACCAAATGATGTGAGAAAACCATAATTATACAATTTCCCTAAAAAGCATCTTACAATTACTAGATATATCCAAACAAACAATGCACTCTAACAACAGAACCAGAGACAACACAACCCATAGCTCGAACACCTACGATAACAAACAAACTACAACACACAATTTCTACAATAGTTTACAGGAGAATTTACGAAAGCAAAGCGAAAAACTAGAAATCAGAAAGCAAACATGTAACAACGATAATCGAATTGCATAATCCTGACGCCCGCTAAAATTTTCTATACACACCGATTGACGGAGCGAAATCTAAACATACATAAACACACTAGATCAAAATACAGCACCAGAGAGATGGATCACAAAGTAATATCGGAGGAAAAAACAGACAAGGAGAATGAGACGACTCACAGGGATCAATCCCGAATGTATCAATACGATGGAGAAATCAATCGATAGATTAGGGTTCCGAGGCGCTTCTCTGATCTCGCAAGGGCAACAGAGGTGCAGAGCGAGAGAAAGGGGGAGAGGTGGAGGGAGGGATTCAGCTACAGGGAGAGCATGCGAGACGAGCCGTTTATTTTTTAAAATTAATTAATGTAATAAATTTAATATATTTATTGGATCTATAATGATTTACTATTTTACCCCGAATTCGTTTTCAAATTTCCACGCGCCCACACCTTGTCTTGAAGTTATCATACATATATGATTACGTGGCACTGATTTGTAAAATCTTATGGACCACCCCCACTTTAATAAACTCCTGTCCTTCAATTTTTTTTTATATAGAGTTGTTAGGTTCGAATAAATTCAAAAATGGAATAATAAGAGAATGAATTATGGAGAAGAATTTTTTTGAATTAAATTTAAGAAATGGTTTTAGTATTTGTGAATCCTTGAAGTAAAAATTATGAATAACAGAAAACATATCAGTATTATTTAAATTAATAGTGTCATATAATTTCCCTTCTTTACCGTCGGTTAACTATCTTTTGCAGTAATATACGTATTATTTAATTAAATAATTGGAATATTCTAATTTATTTGAAACATAAAGTAAAAACGGTCTTTCCACCGTTTTGAATGTTGTGCTTAAAGTATTATTCTTTTACTTTGTAATCGTCTTCTTTTTTCATAGGAAAAATATTTGGAATATTCTAATTTATTTGAAATATAAAGGGATTAATATTTTATTGGTGGCACAAACACTTTTATAAAGTATATAAATTGTGATTAAAATCAGTAATTTTTATACAAATTTCGTCCAACGGACACATAATTATTTCTCATATAACTATTAATGCATTTTACAATAATTTAATTTATCTATACGGGCTTTTCAGGGAACTGTAGTGTGGGCTGAAATCTAAGGTTTGAGCCCATATGGCCCATATAAAATCTCATTTTTTAGCCCAATTCTGTCCCCCTAGCGAAAGGGGGAACATTCGGTTAGTTACTTACCAAATCGGTTTAACCATGCATCCCTAAACCGGTTTAGTCCTGTACAAAGTAGAGATCTTTTCACCAACATCCCGGGTTAATCCTGAACTATTAAAGGCAAACTAATATTAACAAAGATTAATAAAGTACAACTAATAATATTATGGATTTGGTTAACCGGTTTGGTATAGTGTGATTGATTGAACAAAACCTTGAATTTCCCGGTTCAACTTCACTTTCCAGACCGAGATTGATTCGGAATATCGGAATCATATGTTGGTATAACTTACTGTTTTTATTCCCGAACATAACAAGAAGCGTATTTAAATGGTGGAAATTTAAAAAAAAGAAGCCGATTTAATTTAATTCATCAACAATACAATTATAAAACAGACCTAAAAATCACATTTTTAGGCTTAACTAAAAGGAAAAAAAAAAGTCATTTTCTTTTTCTTCTAAGACAGTGGCAGTTTACATCAGAGAGTGAATGATTAAATTAAAAGGAACCCAATTTCTTAAAACCCTTTTTTTTTTCTTTTTGTGACCTAAAGCAATTAGTTTGTTCATCTTGAAACTTCACATTTGGGGTTAAACCCTATTTGCTCCATTTCCCAGCTTAGCTTTGAAGCCACGCCCTCATGCCTTGGAACATATTCCTACGGCCAACCAAAGAGAACGAGACATCACTTAGCATATATATACATGATATGACGAGCACGTGTGTGTGAGTGTATATATATATAAGAGATAAGAATAAACACACACACACACGTGTGTGTGTGTATGTATAGGTATATGTATGTATGTAGAACCTCCATTTTCTTGACAAGGTCTTTGGCATTAGGGGCAGACACAATGATATGGCGAGCACTTGGGCTAATGAAGCCTTCCTCTACTGCTTTGTCTATGAAAGACAACAAGGAGTTGTAGTAGCCATCCACATTCAACAGCCCAACCTACATTATTTATCCATCACCAATTATTTCATATTTATTTATTTCGTAATATCACTAATTTTACCAATATCTATAGTTTGCTCATTCACACTATAAGATCATCACCACCACAGATTATAATGATTTATCATCTGGTTATGAGAGGTAAAGCGATGCATTTGATTATTTTGCAAGTGGAAATTAAATGGGTAGGAAAGCTACATATATGTACATATACACACACACACATATATATATATATATAGGCAAAATGATTACCGGTTTATCATGGATGCCAAGCTGTGCCCAAGTTATCACTTCAAGGAGCTCTTCAAGTGTCCCATAGCCACCTAATTTCACATAACATTCGTATTCATCAAACCCACCAATAAAACTTAATTTCAACTGTTTTGTTCTAATTATTTCGTTTAGAAAATAATTAATCCCCTTTTCCAAAAGGAATAAAAATATATTTTTTAATCAAAATAATAGAGTCGAATTAATTTTGTACATAATATTAATTTCTGATTAGACACATACACGTTATATACCAAATAATGATTAATATGTCTCATCTTCTTTGACAATCGTTATAAAACAACAAATCAAGTCCATACCACATATTGCAAAACCTAAACATTCCAATCTGACAAATGAAATAAAATTATTTTAAATTTAATATCCATTGGCACTAATTTACAAACATCACAAACACAAAAGGAAAAGAACACACGTCAATCTTTAGGTAGAAATTCTTAGGTAAACTATCATATCATAAATCATTATACATTATTCTGATTGTGGTTATTGTTATTATTATTATTATTAGTACTAATAATATTATAACAAATTGACATTAGGAGATTCCAATAAAAATAATAGGTAAATATAACAGTGCATTAGATACATAATCATATCAATTAGAAATTTGTTTTTGGGGTTATTGAAAGGTTACCGATATCCCCAAAGAAATGGGGCCATTTCTAGGGATTTGTGAGAAGTTGAGATGTCCTTATAGTTTTTAGATTACTTCCGCCAAAATATTTTATCCCTAAAATTATAATATATCATTAAAATTCAAAAAACAAATAACCGCAAAAAAAAAAATCATGATATATAGTTATATACTCCTCCCAAAACGTGAAAAACACAAGTTAGACAAAAAAAGTAATCGTGGTTTTTTTTTTCTCTTTATAGAAATATTTAATAGAGGGAAAAATAAAATCGTGTCGGGTTAAAGATTTAAAGATACGCTTTTTACAGTAAAATTGTATAACATTTTGTTGGTAGGGATTAGAGTGAAAAAGACTTTGACGTGATTAAAAAAATATATATATATTCAATATGTAAATGATTACTACTATTATAACAGCAAAAAGAACAAAGACGGCATCGCAATTGAATATTTTTAGGGCCTTTAATTGTGATTCAAGGAGAGGTTTTTGTAGAGATTAAGGGTGGATTAACAGGATCTTAGAAAAATGATTAAAAAAATCCGCTGACAAAAAAGCCGAATATTTTTCCATGGAAACTTCATCTTACCCAAAAAATAAACAAAACAGACAAGACAAGACATAGAATCTAACAAACAAAATCTAAGATATGATCCAACACTTGCATATAAAAATGATATTATTATATTTGTCGGATGATTTTTTTGAGCTGTAGGGCAAAAAAGAGTTAACCCATGGATTTTTTTTTTTAATGCAGATATAAGAACGTCAATATATACATACACATATACATATATATATATGCACATATACACACACACACGTGTGAGTGAGTGTATGTACGTGCGGAGAAAAAGACGAACCAGGTAAAGCAATAAAGGCATCAGAGTGCTTAGCCATCTCAGCCTTTCTTTCGTGCATATCTGCTACTGCCTTCACTTCTCCCACTGTCTCTCCTGTTATCTATTCACATGCACGCACGCACACACACACACACATGTATTATCACAAAACCACATTTTTCTATAATATTTACGGATACAATGAATTATATATGCATTTCTTCAATGTTTTCTCACACATACACACCTGTATATTTGATTTTTTTTTTCCAATATATAATTTGTGTTCGTTGTCTTTTTTTTTTGTAATAAGAGATTTATATACACTTTTTAGATAAATAAAACATAAAAAAAGATTAAGTAAATGAGTTATAAAGTAGTTCGATTTCTAGTTCTGTAATTAGTAATGCAACTATGTTGTCGGCTATATGTGATATCACATTCAGACTAAGCAATAATGCTTTACATATTATACTTAGAAAAATAAAATAAAATAAAAAAGAATAAATGTAATGATGGTTTTAGTCTCTCGAGGTGTTTTTTGTGTTCAAAATGCCGTATGACTTCAACCCATTTTAATGTTTATTTAATCAGCCAATAGTTACTAACTGTAAAAAAAAGGTATATAATTTGGTAAGCCTATCTAAAGATTCGTTGAAAATTTTGGATTACTCGAGAAATATGCTTAAGATTATTAAAATATATATTTTTAGAAATAATAATGAAAACTAGAATAAAAAAAATATCCATAGCAAAGAAATTGGTAGATATAATTATTTATTTTGTCTCACTTGGAACCCAATTGGTCTCTAAAAGAGACAAATATGAAATCCGCGTTTAAAGATAACAAATATGAGGTAGAAATTCATGTCAAAGCATCTACCACAATCTCTTCAAACGCCTTTTTCCCCACGAAAAATAAAAATAATATCAATTTAATAAATGCAATAAACTAAAATGAAATCAAAACGAAATTATAAATTTTCTGAAATTTATTTTTGTACGTACCTCTCTTGGCATGAGTGTCTTGGGGATAACCCTGAAGACAGTAACATGACAAAAGTTAGTTAAAAAGCAAACGTCAAAACGGTAAACGTATGCCTAAATCTATCCATTTATTATTTTCTAAATATACTTTTAAATTTTAATTAATTCTAATAAATCATTATAATATTATTTAAAATGGAAAAAAATTAAATAACGAAGAAACGAACCCGATGACATGACGGCCTCCGTTGAAGACAGCTTGAGAAATCAAGCCCATTAAGCCTATGCTCCCTCCACCGTAAACAAGATCGATATTTCTTGAAACCTTCGCAAAAAGAGGAAAAAAAAACAGTTTACAAAATTATTATTAATTTTTATAATTTAAAACTGTTTTTTTTTTTGTGGATAAGACGTGGTGAAAGAAGAAAAAAAAAAGGTGAAAATCCATAATCATACCCCTCTTAAAAGTACCGACCAAAGTACTTGAAAAAAATGGTAATAAAAAAATGGTATGATTTTCTTTTTTACAAAAACTTCAACAAGAAAAAAAAATACTCTAACATTAATTTTTTTCACTTGTATACTTTTTGTTTGAGCTTTAGAATTGTGTTGTACCTCGCTAGGTACCAAGCTGAAGAATCTTCAAAGTATCTTTCTATAACGATATATATATATATATATATACACACACATAAAAACTGTCTCGTCAATTTTTTTTAAATGAATTGGTTTACTTTATATGTAAAATAAATGATTTACTCCACTTTTTGACCCGCTTATATTTTGTATTTATTATTTGTTGTCATCTGCAATTGCGTCTACATACGAATTCGGTATTCCACATAGGCCTGTTTAATCGTTTTAGATAAAATTCAAATTATATTTACGAGATCATTGATGTATATATCGTATATGTACATATTTAAAAAAAATGAAGGAATACGAAATTGGAAATCTAAAAACCCTAAACCACGGGAGGAGTGTTCCAAACATCACGGAGCAAGAAAGTTTTCGTAGTAACATGGTTATACCAGAAGAGAGAAAACAAAGCTCTGGCAAATACCTAAGGGGAAAAAAAACAGAGGTATTGACCTCTACACGACAAAGTCCAAAACTTTAATCGCGAAACCAAAATCCGAGCAAAACCCAGAAATACCCATAAAGATTAAAACCAAATAAGCTCAAAAGCCTAAAAAAAAATTAGAAAGAAGAAGAAGATGAAGAAGAAGATAGTGGAAAACAAGGGGGGACAACAGAGGAAAAAGAAACAGAGTTGAAATAAGTTACCAGTTCAGTTCCAAGTTCAACAGCAGCATCTCTGTAACTGGTTTTTTTCCCAGGACTACTTCCACAGAACACGCAGATTCTCTTGAACTTTGCTTCTCTCTCCATTCTCTCTCTCTCTCTCTCTTTCTCTCTCTAACTGCAGGGAGAAGAAAACTAGAATTTAGAAGGAGAATCTTCTCTCTCGACCTCACCCCACAATCTTTTTTTTTTTTTTTTGGTAATATGGTTGTATGAATCTATCTTTTCTCTCGGTGCTTGGGGGAGTGTCTGTAACACAACATATGTTCTAATATATATAGAGGAATAGGGTCTGCACCCCCTTTGCCCCTCCCGATAATTTCTAAAAGCAATTTGTTTGTTTTTTTGTTTTAAAAAAAATAAAAATTAAATCGGACGACTGAATTTGACGTTGGTGGAGAATAAAATAAGATTAGAAAACTCTCAACGCATTTATGAGAAATTAGACGCATAAAAAAGAGACCAAAGTTACGTAGGCGGAAAAGGTTTTCACATGCGATTTATATTTATAACAAAAAGCTCTTATTTGGACATGTGGATGTGATTAAAGAGTCAGTCACCAGTCCATGTGTTCGAAAATCGACAAAATAAAATAACAAATTAGATAAGATTTATTGGAGTGAAATTAAGATTTGTCACCGGCATGACTCCACCGCGAAATAATAATAATAAAAAAAGAAAATTAAATTACAAGACTTCATTTGATTCATTACCCTAAAGAATGGTTTTGTTTTCTACCGTTGAATTTTCTCTAATGTGTATTGGATTAATCTATTAATTGATTTTGTAACGTTAAAAATTTTAGAGCAAACCCATGTTTCATGTTTATCCGAAAATCATATATTCAACCCCATCTATACCGATTAATAACATGTTGACTTATAAAAAAGAAAATCAAAACTTATCGAATTGTACGATTATTTTGTTTGCTGCGTTCTTCTCTAAGCTCTTCTTACCTTTAACTCTGTTTTAAACTCTGATAAATTTAAAAAAAAAAATATTCCCGAGGAAAGGAAACTTCCATAAGTTTTTGTTCGTTTGGAAACTTTTAAAGAATTTATTTTGAATCATTAGGATTTTAATGTTTTCCATTTTCAAAATTCTCGAATTTATTTTCAAAATATCATGGATATGTCAAATCAATTTTAACTACAAGTATTGTTTTTCAACTTAATTTTTTTTTGAAATACTCGTTTAATGTTGCAAATTAGGATCGTGTCACATTATAAGGATTTGAAATCTTGTTCGCATTTCAAATATATAGATTCAAATTGTACGTTGGAGAACTAGATATATATTACATTAAAACATAAAATATTCTTAAAACTAAATTAAATGCCAAAACATAATCCATAATAAAAAAAATATTTTAATTTTTTTTAAAACATATATTTATTTTCCCACCATCTCGAAAACACATTTCTGAAATAATTTACAACAAATTATGTTGGCTAATTTCTTTTTTCTCTTCTCTCAACATATGTTTTAATTAAAACTTGGAAGAAAATACTTCCACGTAGTCATATGGATTGGAAACCTAAGAGATTTTCGATAACGTTGTTAAAAGGGATGATACCCTGTCCACGTCACCGACCAATGAGGTATATTTCCTCTTTTTTTATTCTTTTTCTAATCCTTTTTTCCGGCCCTATTATGTTGCAAGAGTGACGTCATAATTTATGAGAATCAATTTAATCAATAAATATTTTTATTCGAGTATCTTCAATCTTTATTTTTTATTTTTTGGTAATGGGAGTATCTTCAATCTTTTGTGTTGATTATACATATTTATTTAAATATCATATTCGTTTGAAACGACTGGTTAAGTAATATTGACTATTCGTATTTTAAATTAGACTACTTTTATTTTAAAATTATATATTTTAATATCGATGTGAATTGGGTTGAAACCGTAGTCTAAAAGACTAAAACACCACATACGAATAGAGCTTTGGATTCATACTGTCGGTTCGAAGCCCAAAAATAAATGTCCACGTAAAAAAAATGTTTTGACAGTTTAATATATGTCTAAACTGTATCTATAATTAAAACTCAGAAAATCTCTAAATCTATTTTGCAAATTGTTTTATTAAAATTTAAATAAGTGAAGCAATAATATGATTCGTGTTCACATACAAATGGAGAAATTAAAGATAATCATTTTTTCGAAATAGGACATGTGACATCGCAGTTACTATAATCTATTATTAATATATGCGAAATAAAAAAAAAGTGCTTTGGACCTCACTTCCGGATTTTTTGTGGTTTTTTATATATGTTTTGTTTGGGCTTGAGCTTCAAGATATTATTAGGCAATTTGGGTTCCGGGTTCTAACTAGTTGGATAGGATTTTTATTTATTTATTTATTTATTTATTTTGGATGTTACAGTTTTGTATTGGAATATTCTTTTTAAATTTGACATGTAAGCTATTGCATCAGTATACATGTCATAAATATATTTAAAAATAAACCAAAATATAGGTTTTTAGATATTTTATCAAAATCAAAATTTATTTCGACAATTTTTAAATAATTGAATTTTAATTAGATATTTTATCAAAATAAATATATCCTTTTAATTAATTAGTTACTTGTGTTCGAATTGTGTAATCGAATAAAAATATTCGGACTGCCAACATGGTAACAAATATATAATGGCAAAAGGTAAAGAACACATCATCGAAAGTCCTATTACTATTTTTTTTTTTTTTTTTTGCGTGTGTGTTGGTCCACTTATTTCAAGTGGTGGTATCCTTTTTCTTTTTTAGACAATTTCAATCGAGTTGGTCATTCCAAAATTGCCAAAGAACCAAAGACAATTCGACACCTATGTCAATGAATAACCAAATTGGCCTCTCCAAATTAGGAAATGTAATCTACCACGTACCGGTTTCTAAATTATACTTCCCAACAAAAAATTATATAATATATTTTTTTTCCAAACTTATTTTTTTTTAATCGAATAGAACCGTTCAAAACATTATCAAGAGATATGAACAATATCTTTGAAAATATCAAAAGATGTGAAGAATATTTTAGAATATTAGAGCTGATTAACCAAAATATACATTCATGATATACAAAATTTGTAACTTCGTGGGGTTGGACCGTCGGGGGACCCCTGCTCAAGTGACAAGGTATCGACGTAGTCCTTATTGCCTCCTCTCGAAACAAAACAATTTCGTCGATTGCATGTTCTTGTTACACTAATCCTCTTATATATTTAATATACGACATTATATATATATACACGTATATAATTATATATACCGAATGCAAAATGATTGATGTAGCTCACGTAGTACTTGTAAGTTGTTGAAAACGATGAATCGAGGACATTTGCATGTGGAAGGTGTTGGGGAATAATCGACACTCTGTTTCTTTCTTCTTCTTCTTTTTTTTTTACAAAAGGAGAAACTTCTGCAAGAGATTTTATATAAGATTAAAGAATTTATAATATATGTTCGTGCAATTTGCCCTTGTACGTAAAAGATTAAAAAAAAACGGTTGTGCGTTTGGCTAGTACTTGATCGCAAACGCACATTCAGCCCAACACAAACGCAAAACGCCGAAGTCAATGGTTTGGGGTTTTCTTTGTCGTTTTACAAACATAGGGATCGTAAAAGATTAGATCCAATAGACCAATGAATGACGTGCATGTATGGTGGAATTTGAGCGTCACCAATTCTATTACACCCTTTCGATTATATGCTCTTTTGTCTGAAATCACATCACTCAAAATCAATTCACTGCCACGACGATATCTATATATAGATCAATTTCTAACACTCTCCAATTATCTAGTAATCGATAGGCTCTTAACTTTTATATTCTATTTTCTTTTCTTTTTTTTTTCTTTTGTTGGGTGTAAAAACACAAATCGGTGGAAATCACACTAACAAGCCACCATAAGGTGCTTGTGACGATAGCCCTCAATCAAAATCTGTCTCTTTTTAAGGTTACTTCCACTACGACATGTTGCTAAAACTCATCTCTCTCTCTCTCTCTCTCTATCGCATCTTGTCCCTCCTTTTGCTTAGGAACATCCCCATTACCTTCTACTTCTCTCCTAAAATCGACAATTTGTCGGGCACATACAATTAATCCATGGGGGAATCACTTATATCACCTGCTGAGCAATATTAATGGCCGATATGCTCTTTCGATGTTTGAGTTTTTGACGCGATCATCTCGAATATGTTCTCATTGTTGTCAACTTTAATTTCATGTAAATTGCCTCCATTATTGGTGGGTTGTTCTCAATATATAAAGGTATATTTCTCTTAATCAAAGGAACATTTATCGCCCGTATCTCTTGAAAAATTAATGCCCTCAATTTTCTTGGAAGATTTATGAGTTTGGTATATGTATGTTGTTTTTTTGTCGTATGTCTCAAACAACTAATTCTAGGACCCTATATATATATTCGTAGGATCCAAGAGATGAGGAATATTACCATTCTATAATTTTATAGGTAACTTAGATTGGATAAAACAAACTTATAAAGATACCTCAAGCCTTGATCAGGTCCATGATATAATGTATATTAATTATCATACTATATATTACTTAATTAATCATATCATATATAGAGAGGGCATTTTAATTAGTCACGGCACTTTCACATCGAGTACTTCGGCTCACTAGCATGGCCTGTACATGTCATATTCTACATTTCAATTTCACACCATCGTCATTAACAATATATAGTGACTTAGTTCACGAGTCCATTTTCACTTAAATTCCCTTTATTTTTCCTCCGATCAAAACAAGGGTTTGAGAAAAAGCCTACATCAAACAATATCCAGACTAATATGGAGATCGGAAACCAATAAGATGTTTTGGAATATACGTTCCCTCTCCAAACTTGAGGTTAAAAAAAAAAAACTTTGTGCAAAATAAGTCCTACTTTGTTTTCATTTTTGAATCTCCATAGCTTATATACAAAAAATGATGGATTTATTTACATTAATTAATGAATATTTGTGTATATCCGTTTCTTTTTATATATCATATATAATCTAAACACAATCGAATTCGAATTTCCAGCCTATCGAAATTAAGATTTACAAATTAAAGCAATATGCGAAATAGTAATTTGTTACATAAAAGACCTATATTTTGTTCATTCGGAGGCTTTTGTAAAAGATTACTTTTATCGACAGAAAAGGTTTGGAGGGAATTGTGCTCTTTGGGATAAGATGAGCATCTCTTTCAAGACAGCAATGCAACTTAGGTTGCATGGTGGCCTT